AAGAGGTTGCTCTCCAGATCTGTTGGTCATCAATTGGATGAAGGCAAATGCTCTCACCACTGAACACAATAGCAACATTTCATCACATAGGTGACCCGCTCCCAATCCTACTGATATACACAACAGTGTTGTGGAGTAAGGGAGTAAGTGTAAGTGTAGTTCAAAGCATATGTAGCCATAGTCTTTTAACAACTAAATCATTCCTAATAGTCCTTGTTAATACTTCTGGACTCATATTTGCTCTGATCTCTGATATAAATTCCATGTAGTCTCTCAGTGCTGCCTTTATAATGTGTCAATCTTGGAGCATCTGTGCTATGTGACTGTCTAGACTCTGGTCTATGAATGTGAGAATGTTCATTTAATCACTTTTGCCAACATCAAACTACCAATATGGTATGTCCAAAATGTGCAGTAATTCTCTGAAGTGACTATTCACCATCCTGAGAGCTATCATAGCCCTTTGCTACTTCATCCATGTGACCAAGGCTGATGTTATGTCTTCATAACCTTGACCCTTTCTTCATTGTGTTGCTACACACCCTTAAATTTAAGTTCATTTAGTTTCATGATAGCCCAAATAACTTTTTAGTTCTTTCAGTGTTACAAACCTAGTTGGAATACACATTTTTATACCTTTTATATTGTGTAGCACATCTCAGTTAATTTTTCTGGAGATTTTTAGTACTTTGCAGGACCAGTTAATATTTACACTCCCTTTCCATATAACCTGGTGACTTCTTGCCAAACCCAATCAGAGAAGGAGGAATAGGAATTGACAATGGAAGTCTGCACCATTGTCAGTGCTGGCTCTGTATTAAGTTACAGTCCTCTTTTTTCTTTTTTCTGCTAACTGGATGCTAGTTGGGGTTTCCTGTCCATGCTTGCTTCTGGTGCTCTTGCCCTTACTTCCAGCTACCACAGACCCTTAACTTCCAGCATTCATAGTCTTTACTAATTCCTGTTATCGCGGACCCTTATCTTCCAGCATCTTACTTCTGGCATTCCTAGCTTTTGCTATTTCTGGCTACCACAGACCCTTACTGCCTTACTCTGACTTCTGGCATTCCTACCCTTCATTACTTCCAACCAGCAACTTTTCAACACTTTAACTGGGCATATGAATTTAAATTTTGAACTGTGGACTTACATGCTAATTTAACCTACAAGGACTCTGGTCTGTATTCTAAATAAATTTTGTATTAAATTTTGAGTTTGTTGTTCTATTGTCCATTTTTGTTCCACCTGTCAGATTTCACGTTTTTAATTTAAAATGTTAGTGGGCCTCTTGTGACTCATACTTGTGACCAGGCTATGTTATACTTTGCCCCCTCCAGAGCCTATAATTCAATTTTTTTTCAAAGCACAAAAGGTGTCATTTGCATCTCCATAGCATGATACATGCATTATTGTCTAAAGCTCAGATACAGACAGTGCATTAAACTTAATTGGAAAGAATGAAAACCATATTATACAATGCTTACATTTAAAAAAAAAAAAACTCTACTAAAATAATTTTTACTTTTATAACAAACATAGCTTAATACTTTATGGTTGGCAGTTATTGAAATTGTTGCCCAAGTAACAAACTTAATTTTTCCTATACAGTACAAGAGATTTTAAATTCAGCAAAATGAATAAGCATTGCAATCAAAATTAGAGTTCTTTTAATGAAATATATATGTGTGTGTGTGTGTGCTTAAAATAGGATATAGAATCATGACAAAATTTTGAAGAAATTTGACAAATTATGCATTTCATTTCTAGTCTTGATCAGATCCAAAAACAAAAGAAATTCTAACAGAGATTGTAAATTTTTAAATATGCTGAAAAATTTTCCAAAAATTCTCAGAAACTTTCTCAAAGTCTAACCATATGACAAAGATCAGATTATTTTTTTCTTTTGATGTATTTCTTGGTCCACTACACCCTGATAATGTTCTTCAGCTTACATGGTTGTTATTGTTATTTAATTGTATTTTTTCCTCTTTGGATTTGTTAACAGTCATTAATGCTTGCTTTTCAGAATAAGTTTTCATAAGCCTAATGAGGATGAGTATTATGAAAGATTCAGTTCATTATTTTATTGAAACAAAATAGTCAAAGCTGCACCAATGGTTTTATTTACTTCTTACAGACCTGCATCATACATTGACTACAATCATTTTTTTTAAATAGTCTATAGAAATCATTTAAAAAGTGTATATATTTTATAATCTTTTTCTTTTTATTCTTCTTCCAATCATTTGTAAATATGTTTCCCAGATTTGAAATTTTCAGTTTTCATCTGTTGCTTTTGTATTTAAATTTTTTATTGTTACATTTTTAATTTCTGTTTAAACTCATTCATTCCTTATCCTGTTTACTTTTTTCACTTGGTTCATTTTTTTGTAATTCTTTATAAATCAGTTTTTCTAATTTATTTTTAATCCTTTTTATTGAATTTATTCTTCAATATTTTTGGTTTGATAATCCATCTGATTGATTTTTTTCCTATATATACAAATACAAGGATTTAATTATTTAGTATTTGTAATTATTTTCAGAAGACCTTTTATTTATGTATTTTTACATAAAAATAAGAATATGATCAACTATTTTTGCCTGCATTACATGTTACAAATGTTCTAATGCCTATTAATTTGATTTTCAATTTTGAAAATTGTAAGTTACATTGCAATTTATCTCAAAATATATTTATTCTGTAAAATTTAACCCATTTCTTGCAACAGTAAAGTCAGAATTTTTATTTACTACAATCATTTTTATTTTCAGATTAGCTCGAGAGACAATTATTTATTTAATGTTAAGTTTTTTTATTTAATATATGCTTTGTTCCATATTTGGAAGTATATATTCCATATTGCAAATGAACATACAAATTAAATTGCTATGACTATAAAATGAAGATTATAACACTGTTCATTTAAATGACTACATTGAGTAGCCGATATACATGACTATAAAATTTAAAAGAAAACGATTAAATTGATAACCTCATGTTATATAAAATATATAACATAAATTAATCCCAAAACTAAAATAATTTAAATACTAATTTGCATTAAAAAATATTTCAAGAATATCACTTACTCACTTTCATTTATTAGACATTGAAATGGGTCACTTTATGCCTTCTGTAGTATGTCTAGCTTTTTGGCTAACCTGATGAATATTTATGACCATTCTTAAATTTAAAAATTTTGAAAAACGAAGACATTTTTGCTCTTGTATATAAATACTTGCTATGAAATAAAAACCTTGGTAAAAGTCCCTCACAGCACAAAATGTGTTAGCTAAGATAAATTTTCCTTTTGTCTTTATTCATATTGTCCTTTTACAGACATACTCTATCTGAAATTTTTACATAAACTTTCATTTTTTATCATGTTTTTCACAAATAATGCTTCAGTTTTAAAGCTACATATAAAATGGCAGTTGTTTATTTTTTGCATTATTTGCATAAACTGGTAAGAACAAACTACAAAAAAAAAGGCTCCAAACTTTTTCAATTTAAATTTTGGCATTGATATTATCCTAGCTTCAAAACAAGTGAAACAAAATTAATGTTCAGTGATTTTACAAATAACATTTCATTGCTTCATATTGCTTCATATTTAATTGATGTGTCAAAATCAAATTTACTAACCTCTCTTAATGATTATTTCAAAATTTATTTTAATTTTATTAATAATAGTGAAGTTCTGCTATTATCTCTAAAATGGACACCCACAAAGCATGTGAACTTTATATCCCTGTCATAGTCCTTAAGAAATGTACTCCAGAATGTTCTTGTTCTCTTTAAACTACAATAAATGCCTTGCTGCTTCTTCCTTCCCTGCCTGTAGTTCAGAACTCTAGTGAACTATCTGATCTTTCTATTGGCCTATTAGCTTTCTACCTCTTTTTGACAAAGTACTAGAGATTCTAATCAACTCTGAATTGGTTAAGCATTTACCTTTGCAGGGTCTTCTTTCAGATAAGCAATATGGACTTCACTACTCTAGGACCTGCTGATATATTAACGATTATTGCTGAACAATAAGAATGGTGAATGGGCTGTTGCTTTGGATATTTTAAAGGCATTTGACAGAGTTTGGCATGCTGGTCTTCTTCACAAGTTGAAAGTTATGAATGGTTGAAATGGTATTGCAAGATGAATTTTTGATCTGATTCAATCTTTCTTATCAAATCGCAAAATGAATGTTGTCCACACTTTTAAATTTTTTTATATTAATGCAGATGTCCCCCAGGGTTCTAATTTTCATCAGCCATCTTCTTGATATCAGTTCTCAATTTGGTATCTATGGTGATGATACAACTATTTACTCCTATCTTAATAGTAAGTCAAAAGTAATGGCAGCTGATCTAAAAAAAAAAACAAAAAAACTTTTAATATGTTTTTAACTAGGACAAGAAATGCCTTGTTAATTTTAATGCTTCCAAACAAAACTACTCTCTTTTAATAATCTAAGAGAAACCTTTTTACCTCCCATCATCATAGCTGCAGCAGTGTGACACTTTACACCTTCTTGGGCTAAGAATTTTTTCTTACATGAAGTGGAAATATTGAAATATTGAAACAACTGCTAGGTCTGTTGCTAGGAAAGTTGGTTCACTGTGTTGTGTAATTTTTCTCCTCAGAATCTATCTTGCACATTTATAAGTTTACTGTTTGTTCATGCCTTAAATATTACTGCTACATCTGGTCTGGTGCTTCTGTTATATATTTAAAGATTCTTGTTAAATACAAAGAAGAATTTGCAATATTATTGGTCTTGACCTGGCATCTTTTGTTCAGTCACTTTTCCATAACTGTAATGTAGCTTCTCTGTAATTTTTCTATAAATATTTTACGGGTAATTGTTCTGATCCTTATATTATCTCACACTCATTAAGCCCTTGCTTAGTGGCTGTATTGCCTTGCTTGAAGTGGAATGATTAAAAAAAGTTTTTGAAATGTCAATGGTTTGATTTATTCTATTTTCCTCTTATTACAGGCTCAGGTCAGGAAGATTATTGCCCAGCGTCTTGCCAGCAATCTTCATGAACAAAAAAGGTTGGAAGAGGAACGTTTACGACATGAACAACTTGAACAAGAACGGCTTGAAAGAGAGCAAGAGGCAGCTGATGAAGAAGTTATTGAAGAATCCTTACGGTTAGTAGCTTAATCTATTTTCTGACTTTTATTCATATTTTTTATATCTGTTGTACAAGCTTTCTTATATATATATATATATATATATATATATATAATCACATAAACAATGGTCTGTTCTAACTGTTCTAATAATATTGCAAAAGGAATATATTACATATTATATTACATATGTATGTGTCCTTAAAGATTTCAAGGATTAATTACAAATGAAAACTTGTAGATCATGAAGGAAAATTCCAAAATGATGTAGAAATATCCAAATAAAATATATATATATATATATATATATATATATATATATATTATAAATTAATTGATTTAAAATATGTTTTTTTTTTACACAGTTCTAACCATGTTTCAAAATGGAAGCTAAAAAAAATTTAATTTTGTAATTAAATTAAAAAAGACATTAGTTCCATTTCATCCTCAAGCGAATTTTGGAGTAACTTTTAAAATTACTGGGTTTTAAAGACACAGCAAAAATCATAATTCATGTTTCCAAGGATACAGAGAAATCCAATTCAACCAGACAAGGGGTTTTTCGTTGTTCATTATGTCTTGTATTTTTGATGCATCAGTTATTAGTTACATTTTGGTAGGGGTAGGGATGTATTTTTTTCATGAAATCTGACATCCGTTAAATGCATGTCGTCTGGATTTTTTTAAAATTTTATTGTTAACGGCAAAAATTCTTTACGGCATTTTTTTCTATTTGTATATTTAAAAGATTTTTTGGGGGTGTTTAGGTTAGAATACGTTTTATTTAACTACAATTTGAAAAAATATTTTCACTTTTAATTTTTAATATACTATATTTCTTTTAAGAACAAGTAAATGTATTAGGATCCCTTACAGTATGTAGAATTATTTTTACATCAAGTATAAGTATGTATATTATTAGGTAACAAATTTTTTATTTTTTATTTTTTTTATTTAATTATATTTAAATATTATTTAAGTAAAATTTATGGCAATGATGGTAAAAATAGCTAATTAATTTCACTGATTTAGTAAACTTTTATTTTTTATATAAACCTAGTAATATATTGTTTCTCATGTAAGTACAAAAGACATGGGTCATTTAATGACCTACATATTCTAGCTTTTCTTATTAACTTCCATTTTACTGTAGGTGTTTTATTTGATTCTTTTAAGTGCTTGTAGTACTTAGAGGGAGGTCTTTAGGTTAGAATATGTTTTATTTAATTACAATTTTAAAAGATGTTTAGGTTAGAATTTGTTTTATTTAACTACAATTTTAAATACAACTTTAAAATATTTTCACTGTTAGTTTTAATAGACTATATTTCTTTTTAAAAGAAGTAAATGTATTAGAATTACTTACAGTAAGTAAAATTAATTTATAATATTAATGCTCTGTAAATTTACATTGAGCACTATTTTGTAAAAATAAAAATATCTATAAGAACACCGGATTATATCTTACTGTTCTTTCTTTTTATTTATTTATATATATATATATATATATATATATATATATATATATAATATCCATTGATAATTAATAGGAACAATTCCAAGGCAGACATTAATCCAAAGAGAGCTAAATATAAGTAAGAGACCAATATAATAATAATAATAATAAGTACAGAATCCTTAAATCCAGTTATAACTTATTTCATGAATTTTTTACATTCATCTCTTCAGATCAGTTTTGTTAATAAAACACCAGTTTGAAAAGATAAATTTAAAAATTTCATGAAATAAATTATAACTGGATGGATTTTTAAGGATTTTGTACTCATTATTATTTTATATATATATATATATATATATATATATATATATATATATATAGAATTAAGTATGCACCTGGGTAAATTAAACTACAGGATTGTTCAAGAGTTCCCTGGTAGTTATGAGTTCAATCTCTAGGTTGTGTAATGTAAAAAAAAAAATCATACTTTAGTTAATTGGAAAATTGGACAAGCAGCATAAAGGGAAACAGTTCTTGCCAAAAAATGACTGATGTTAACCATTACACATTACAAGTCAGATCTGAAACAAGTATGTGTCATTGCTCCAACATTGTTCACCGCCTTCATTGCAACCATGATTGACATCATAAAAGATGATCTACCTTCAAAAATTGAGTTTGTCTACAGGACAAATGGTAGATTATTCAACCTTGCCCATCTTTGCTCCCAAACATTGCTCGTGTTTCAATATTCAGATGACAACTGTTGCAGCACTTTGTGAATCACACCTGCAACAAATAGTGAATTTCTTCAACAATAAATACATCAAACTTGGACTAAAAATCAGCTAAAATGTGCAGAATCATCTTTTGGTTGCCTTCAAACTAGAGTTTTCCAAGATCCTGACATCAGAACAGATGCAATAATGTTAGTGTACAAGGCAATAGTAATTCCAACTTTTTGTATAGCTCTGGAACCTGGACAATTTAGCAACAACATCTGAAATTCCTTGAAAATTTTCATCAGCATTGTCTTCAAAGTATCTTGAACATCAGTGAGAAAGACAGTAGAACTAGCATCAGTGTACTGGAACAAGCTAAAATGACCATCATGGAAGCCATCATCATACAAAATCAACTTCTATGGAATGGACATCTGATGCGAATGGATTTCAGTTGGCTACTAAAACAAATCTTTTACTCTCAAATCAAAGAAGGAAATTGAAAAAGCAGGGGGGTCAAAAGAAGAGATTCAATGACATGAACAAAACATGAAGAAATGTAACATCAACATCAACTGCTGTGAATCCAGTGCAATGGACAGGAATGTGTGGAGGTATTCACTCACACCATAGGAGTCATAAATTTGGGCATGTATTCATGAAGAAAAACAGTGCAAATAAATGTACACAATAACAATAAAAAAACATGGTAAATTGCATGGTAATTTCATAAAATTTTATTTATGTATTTGTGTGTATTGGTGTGTGTGTTACATTACAATTGTGATAATGTTCATGTTATAAAAGGGAGTAAGTCATTCTGCAATATCACAAGTCCTATCACGGAGGGAAGTTATACATGTGTTAACATCACAACAGGTCTTGGGTGAAGTGGGTGAATCCTATGTCTTTTGGCAGGATATCTGTACTTCCAACAGAACAATCCCTGTTTCATATTGTGAATAATTTTATTATTTTTATTTTTTATTTATTTAATTTATTTTAAACAAGATTTAAATATTATTTTATTTTATTTATAATTTTCATTATTATTATGTTATATTATATTTTTATTCATAATAATAACAATGTTCCTACATATCTCTAAAGATCTATTGTCAGAGATGGAACAACAATCTTTGAATCAAAATGATCAGCCAAACTAGAGGACAATAACTGATGATGTCAAGATAACAACAGCCAAGGCCTAATCTACCATTCAGAACAACATATCCTCAATGTTAAAAGGCTTTTCAAGAAAAAATTGGTTCCATTAGCCATCTTTGAGTCCATAAACCCAACTGAATGGGGCAAACAAAATAATAACAATAACAATAACTGATGATCAATAGATCCTTCTAAAGAAAAGCAATACTTAAGGTTTAAGATAAATTTTTAAAAATTAAACCTATTTCTTGAAGCTTTTAATTTCAACTTAATAGATCACATTTAATATTTTCCATAAGCAAAATACTTTGGTATATTTCAAAACAAATTTAAATTTATTAGAATGTGTTGTTTTTTTTTTTAATTGCTAAAAATTGCTGATTTTAACCATATTTTGCACTCATGAACACAAGTCCATATTTATGACTCCTATGGTGTGATTGAATAACTCAACAGATTTCTGTCTATTGTACCGGATTCCCAGCTGTTGATGTTACATTTCTTCATGTTTTGTTTAGGAATGTAATTGAATCTCTTCTTTTGACCTCTATTTTTCAAATGTAATTCTCTTTATTAAAAAATCTTTATAATCTAATTTAAAATATACTTTCTGAAACTTTATTTGAGAAAGATTATTTGATTTAAAGTTTAATCAATCTGATTTGAAACAAATTTTACTTTTTATTTAAAATATCACAGAAAAGCATTTTTAACATGGAGGTGGATGTTTTTTATGAAGTGTTGACAGCTTTATTGACAGCCTGATGTTTGGGAAATTTAAGTAATTTTTTTCTACAGAGGACATATCCATAAAAATTATTTGACCAATATAGCATGAGAGTCTTTTTATATCATTTTGAACTACCCAGTAATCTTAAAAATTTAAGAAATATTCTAAGTATCTAAAGTTTTAATGAATTTTAGGTATTTTGGTTTTATGTGAACTCTAGTTGCCACTCTTATTTTATAGTAATGTCATGCATGGACATCTGTATTTAGTAAAACTGGCATGTTTATACATACAAAAAAAAAATCAAAATTCTTTTTAAAATACTTTCCATTTATGATTAATAAATATGGTTTCTACTTAATAACAATATCACCTAACCAGTACAAATTAATACAGAATTTTTAAAAGATTTAATTATCCTAATTAAAATTTTTAACCAATGAAAATTATTATTGTAAAAATTCATTATTTATCAAAATATTTTTTCTGAAGACAATAGTATCCATAATATATCTTATTTATAAAAGCAATTAAAAGCTTTTTTAATTGAATAATATCTTAGTTTTATTGCATTTTTTAAAAAATTCAGAGCAAATATTTGGTAACTGGGGGTCCTGTTTTAGAAAGAAAAATTGATTTAAATTTTCCGAAAACTTCTGCTTGTAACTAATGCAAACATTAAGCCATACAAGAAAGAATTTCTTGAAATTTCATAAAATTAAATCAGTGCAAGGTAACAGATGTAAAGAAAATATTTTTTCCAAGATTTTCTAAAAAAAGCAGTTCTAAAATAATTTAATTCATGTGTGAATAAGTCTAAAAAGTTTCATTAAAATCTGACAATTATTTGATTTTTGAAAAAATTTAAAAAAAGATGCTAAAATTTCCTATACTAATTTATGGTCACCTACTGATGCCAGAAAAAATGGCAAGCAAAATT